GTGAGGCCAGCGGGCCTCTGTGCCCCATCTGTGAGCGATGTCTCTCTCTCTCTCCCTCTCCCTCCCTCTCTCTCTCTCCATCTCCCTCTCCCTCTTTCTTCTTCTTCTTCTTCTTCTTCTTCTCTCTCTCTCCTTTTCTCTCTCCCTCCCTCTCTCTCTCTCCCTCCCATTCTGAAATACTAGGAATCAAACCCAAGGCTTCACGAGGAAATCATGATCTGGGTCCATCGGTATCACTTTCCTGCTACCCACTTCCTGCTCCCTCAGGCTGACATGCCCCTGGAGCCTCACAGAAGACAATGTCATAGAGGGAGATGGGTTCTAGTCCCAGCTCTGTCAGAGAAATGAGCGACTTTACCTCCTACAGCCTCAGTTGCTCCATCCATAAAGTGGGAGTGCGAGTAGCCGCAATCTGAGACATTTGTGATTAGATGTGGAGGAGTTAAAGCCCAGAGCAGCACCCATAATATTGTTATCCTATCTTTCTTTTTTCTTTTTGGTCAGTCGTGGGGCCTGAACTCCGGGTCTGAGCGCTGTCCCTCAGCTCTTCAGCTCAAAGCTAGCGCTCTACCACTTGAACCACAGTGCTACTTCCAGCTTTTTCTGCTTATATGGTGCTGAGGAGTCAAACCCAGGGCCTCATGCATGCAAGGCAAGCACTGTACCACTGAGCCACCTTCCCAGCCCATGTTATTCTATTTCTTGTAAGCCCAACACAGCTCTCTGACTAAGTCCATAACTGAGTTCAAGTACCCTGCATGACACATACACTGGCACAAGTTCACTTGCCTTAAACACTTCCAGCCCTTTACCCAGAGCTTCCCATAATGATGCCAGCTGCTCTTTATAGACTCTTTCTATGCAGTAGGCCTTGGCATGGACAATTTCATTTCAGTTCCCTAAAAGTCTTGAAGTGAACACTATTATCAGATGAAGGAATCCAGGATGAGTGACTAGGCCAGTGCAAAAATAGCACAGCCTCCAAGTTTTTTTTTGTGTGTGTGTGTGTGTGTATGTGTGTGTGTGTGTGTGGGGGATCTTATGAACTACGAAAGCATGGTCTATAACCTCTCTTAAAAGGGCTTTACATTTTCTAAAATGATTCCAAATGCTTTCCATCTGAATAAACAGAATAGAGGCAAGATGAAGCTACGTTGCAAGAGTACAATGCTTAGCATACCTGACTTCCTGGGTATTCTCAATGGCCAGCACCACAAAAACTAACAAACAAAATTCAGGCCTGGCTCAGCAGTAGAGTACCAGCCTTGCAAGCATAAGGTCCTGAGTTCAAATACCACTACCTCCTCCCAAATTAAAAAACAAACACAAAACAGGGAACAAGAACAGTATCTGAAGTGGCTATGGAGGGGGCCTAAAACTCTAGCTTTGATAAAACAAATTGTGTGTGTGTGTGTGTGTGTGTGTGTGTGTGTGTGTGTGTGTGTGTGTGTATACTAGGGCTTGAACCCAGGGCCTCATGCTTTTGCTTAGCTTTTTCACTCAAGACTAGTGTTCTACCACTTGAGCCACACCTCCCCTTCCAGTTTTTGCTACTTAATTAGATATGTGTCTTTTGGATTTGTCTGCCTAGGCCTAGGCTGCCTTTGAACTGGGATCCTCAGATCTCAGCCTCAGCTAAGACTACAGGCATGAGCTACCAGAGCCCAGCAAAACAAGTAATTCTTGATCCTATTTAGAAGGTCTAGGAGACCTCCTCTGGCTGGTAGCCTTCTTTCTCTTTGGCTATAGAAAGAAGTTGCACTTTGGATAAAGACCTGGATTCAAATCCTATACTATAGGTCACCCAGCTGTGGAAGCTTAAACAGGTGACTTTTCTTTTTGGTCATTCTTTTTTTAATATATGTTTTTTATTGTAAAAATACTGTACAGAGGGTTATAGTTACATGAGTAAGGTAATAGTACATTTCCTATAGAGCAAACTGGTTCACACCTGTAATCCCAAGGCAAGATCATGATTGGGGTGCTAGCACAGGCTTCATAGTTCCAGGTCAGACTGGGAAGCATCGAATAATGCTGCCTCAAAAAAGAAAAAAAGGATGCTAGGAAAGTATCGTGAAATAATTAGAAAGTAATCTTTTGGGAATATATTGCCATGATAAGGTCATGGTAAATCTGTACAAGTTGCTCTTGGAGGCTGTTTTTAATAGCCAGCTATAAAACATTCCTAGAAATTTAATAACTAGCTCTTGGGAGCGAATGTGAGCTGGGTCTGGCACCTCAGGGAAAGGGGCTGAGAACACAGCAGAGGCTGACTCCTTCCCTCCTACCAGCCTCTTTCTCCAGCCTCCACACCTGGGCCGGTTCGAGCCGCAGCAGACACGCCCCCTTCCTCACCTTTGGACCACCCCAGGCTTTCCACTTTGTGAAGCTGTTTTCTAAGCTCAGCATCCCTAACCACCTTGGGAGAAGTCCAGTTGGGGCAGTGTGACCCTTCTACCCTAGTTGGAATTTTTGAATAAAAGATAGGCATCTGCCCCACATTAGGGTAAAATTTCATAATTTTAAAATTATAATTAACTAGCCCATTTGTTAGTAAACTCTGCTTTGTGGAAAGCAGAGATGCTCTGTGAGAAGAGAGAGGAATGAAGCGTTGGGCAGAGAGGAGCCCAAGTAAATGTACCTTCTTGTCCTGCTTGCGATCTGACCCTGAGCCCCAGATGAACCCCTGCCTAGAAATTCCCATTGCAGGGCTGGGAAGGTAGCTTAGTGGCAGAGTGCTTGTCAAGCATGCATGAAGCCCTGGGTTTGATTCCTCAGCATCACATAAACAGAAAAAAAAAACTGGAAGTGGTGCTGTGGTTCTGGTAGTAGAATGCTAGCCTTGAGCTGAAGAGCTAAGGGACAGCACCCAGGCTCAGAGTTCAAGCCCCACAATTGAATTGTTTTTAAAGAAAACCAATTCAGCAGTGATACTCACTAGACACTATGTTGGAAATGAACTTGGGGGAGGGAAGATGGGAGGAGAAAAACTGGGAGAGAATGAGGGAGTGGTTGGGACTGTTCAAAAGGAAACATACTCATTTCCTGACTTATCTAACTGTAACCCCTCTGTACATCACCTTTACAAAAATGTTTAAAAATTAGTAAGATAAAATAGAATTAAAGGAGGAGACAGTCCAGATGTTGTCTAATAGTGTTTAATATTCCCTCTATCCTAATACAATAGTCTCCTATGGAGACCCAGGTTCAGAGATTTGCCTCCCCTTTGTGGGAGAAGTTGCTGAGAGGAGTTAGAAATGATATGTTGGGTAATTTCAAGGCATGTGAGTGTTGGGGTGTGTAATGAAAGAGCACAAAGCCAACAACCTATGTTTTTGTTCTCCCCCCCCCCACCATTGGGACACAAATAGACTCTGGAAAAATCAGAGCAACAGAGAGAGGCAATAAGCCTTCCCTCCCTCCTCCTCCACGGAGGGTGTTGGGCACCCTGCTTCAGTTCTCAGATCGAGTGGAACCTGGCAGCTTCCCAACCAGGAAGGATGATGGAATGTGACACAGGACAGTAAACAAAGGAGCAGGGAATGAGGACTCATAGAAGACCAGAGAGTTGTTGAAACCTTTCAAAAGTAGCTTGATCTCCACTTCTAAAAAAATGCACATAATAACTAATGCCTACCACGGAAGCCCAGCGCATGTCAGGGCCATTGAGAAATGGTTCCTATGGTCACTGGTGTGGCACCAAGAGAGGTGGGTGGGAGGAAGAGCCAGAATGGGATTCCCCAGGCCCTGTGGCTTCCCTGGCTGTTTCTCAATGGAAAGAGCAGGAAGCAAGTTCTGTGCTCTTGCTTTTCTCTGCTACTGAAACATCACTAGCCTTTCCTCCTCTGATCCTTAGCACCCAGCAATTACTGTCTCTGGTACATTTTATCTTGTCTTCCAGGGAGCTTCACTCTGGAAGAACACGGGGCTACTGCCAGCACCTAGCCTGAGAATGAGAGTCTCCGTCATCTGATCCAGTGCCCGGTCCAGGAGGGAGTTTCTTCCAGACTTGATTTGTAGAGTAACTGCTTGAGGCCAGGGGAGCCCTATTTCTACCATGTTGGGAGACTGTCTTGTGCTCTGAGACACCATAAATGGTGACTTCTCTCACACATGTGTGAAATACAGTTGAGATCACTAAAATCGTACAATTGTTTAAGAGCGATCTTGCAGGCACCTTTCTGATCAGTGTGGATTTTCTCTCTCCCCTGTGACAATACCTGTCCTTGGACTAATAACCACATGATACTATAACAAACACTAATAATGTGGAGAAGCCACTGTCCTTGCCATTGATTTTTGAGGTTCCCTCCCATCAGAGCTCCCCTACCATCCTGTGGAGAGGTGACTAATTGCGTCCATCTCACAAATTAGTCAACTGAGACTCAAATGCCCTGACTCAGTTACCCAGAATTTGCTGGACTGGCAGATGTGAAGAATTCCAACACCGGTCTTCGGACTCCAAGGCTGGGCTCACCTGTCTCGTGTCTCATGTCAGGGATGCTCTGCTTTCTTCATTCTGGCTGAGGTTGGGAATGAGTCTCCTCTGTTCTGTTTCCTCTCCTTTTTGAGCAGAGCCCATTTCACTATGGGAGGGCTTTGTCTTTTTAAGTTCGTCCTGGGCTGGACTCTGCTCTCCATTGCCCTGGCTGGGCACCGCAAGCTGCCCAGCTGCCTAGACCCACGGAGCTCCCCAGCCTGGCTACTACAGAGCCACCCCTGAGTGACCTTCCCCCATCCTAGGCCTCTTCAGACTGCCCCCTCCCCACTCAGGGCCTCAGTTTACTTCTGCGTCAGGCAGGGAGCTATCTGGTTGTCTTCTTGGGGGTGGGGAGGGGGATGCAGGGGTGAGGAATTTCCTAAAATGACTTATGCTGCTCCGATGTTAGTTCCGAGCGGGCCCCGCCCTGCCCAGGCCCCGCCCCACCGGGCAGGCCCCGCCCCCAGCCTCGCCCGCGCCCCGCCCACCGGCCCGCCGCTAGCTCCCGGTGCCCCGGCTGGCCCGGAACCAGCTGAGCACAGCTGGACCCAGCAGCCGCCGTCGCCAGCGCCAGCGCCGCAGCCGCAGGTAGGGCGGGGGGAGGCCGGGGCATCTGCCGCTCCGGGGCCCGACTCCTCACTCCCCTTTTCTTTCTCCTTCGCGGTCCCAGCCCCTCCTCCGGGCAGCTCCGCAGAAGGACTTCCAGGGTCTTCCAGGGGGCGGAGGAGGGTGGGCCCGGGCTGGGGCAGGAGGGGGGAGAGGTCCCGGCCTCCGACTCACATCCTCCCCCGCCACGGCGAAGACCCGAGCTAACCCCGACCCGGGGGCTGGGTCCGGGTCTTCCGGGCACCTGGGGTGTCCGGGCGGGCATGCAGGTGGCCGTCCCGCCCCGCGCAGGGCGGTGGCTCTGCGGGGCGGCCGCGCCCCTGGCTCACAGCTTTGCCTGCCCTCCTCGGGCGGTGGGGAGCCTGCTCCACCTCCTTCCTCTTTCTAGGCCCAGGACAGTTAGAAAGTTCTTCCCTGTATTGATTGGCCCGACACCTGCCTGCATCTGTGACCTGTGTGTTACCGACTCCTCTCGCTCAACCAGCTATCTATCAGAGTTGAGCCCACAACTTCTTCCAGCGTCGAGGCGGTGATCCGAACCCTCTTTTTCCGGGCTTCCATCACCTCTCGGATCCACTCGTCCCCACCCCACCCCCCAATCCCAAACTTGAGTACAGCAGTTTCCCTGGATCTAGCAGTGGGGTGGGAGCTGGGGGGGGGCGGGGAGAGCCCCAGTCCTGGGAAGTTGGGGGGCTGGGAGGTGGGGGTTAGGCAGGCAGAAGTTGGGTTTCTTTGGAGTTCCTCCCCGGCCCAGACATCCACCCTCCTCCCCCCCCATTCTGTGGTCATACCCTGGCCAAAGCCAGAGAGGGATCCTGAACCTACCCAGGGCTCCTGCGTGGCTGTCCCAGGAAGAGAGCGGTTTATGTGGAAGGCTGGCCTATGGGGTGGTGCCTCTGGTTTTTGTTTGGCCTCAGGGAGTTTTCAAAGATTTTTTCCTGCTTGTCCTGTTCTCCTGGAGCCACATTTCTGACCAGGGCACTAGGACCGCTCCCTGCTGGGCACTTTATAGTGAGCTGAATTCTCAACTCATCCTCCCCCCCCCCCCCCGTTCCCCCCAGCCCCCGGGCTGAGAGGTTTTGTGACCTGCTCTTAGCTACACAATGGGGTGGATGCAGTTCCAGTGTGCTTTATGCTGATTCCTGGCTTTAGAATGTACTTGGCCTGTAGTACTTTTTTCTTCTTCTTTCCAGTACTGGGGTTTGAACTCAGAACCTTGCACTTGTTAGCCAGGCACTTTACCTTGAGCCACAAGTCACTAGAGGACTCCCCCATACCCTTGGGGGGTGCTTTAATATTTTAAGGAGTCATTAGAGGAAGAAGGTGGAGGGATGGGAGGGGAAACAGTGGGCCTCTAACTCCTTTGAAACTTCCTTTTCCTTTCTTGGGTATCCTATTTATAAGTGCCGGAGAAATTGGAAACAGCCGGGGGAGCTTGGTTTGGCATTTGGATGAATTACACAGCAGCAAAGGTTTCTGTGTGAACCCCACGGAGAAGGGAACTTTACTTCAGAATTTTCCATAGTCTTTTTTTATTATTATGAATTAACATGAGCCTCGGGAAGCAGATCTGACTGGCATTTCCTTCCCTCCCTCCTCCCTTGATACAGCCCTCTTCTTCTGCTTTGTGGCCTGAATTATGAGAGGCCCAGTAGCCCCAAAGATCCAAGGAGAGTAAAGCCCTCAGCTCTCAAAGTGCTTCTCATGGGAACAATGTGCACAACCACGCCATATTGAGAGTTACTCTCTGGGAGAGGGGTGACTAATTCTGTCTAGGTGAGCAAAGTCTCAGAAATAAGTAATAATTTGTCAGGAGAGAAGGAATCAGTGAAAAAGCTATTCTGAGAAGCAGGGCCAGCTTGTGCAAAGGCACTGAGGTTTTTTGAGCAATCCACTTTAGCTCGAATAGAAGGTGGAGTCAGAGTAGGGTGATAGAGTTGGGTTTGTAGATGGAACTGGATGGTAAACTTAGAGTTTGGACTTCATTCTGAAGAGAAGGAGCTGAGAAAGACTCATGACCAAAACTAATTCTCATTAATGTGGTAGTTGATGTAGAGGATGCATTAGGAGGGTTGAACTGGAGATAAAGAGGCCATGATGAGGCCATTGTGTGGTCAGAAGGCAAGTCCAACTAGAGCAGGGCTTACAGGGATGGGATCAGAGTGTTATAGGGGAAATTCAAATGAAGGTCTCTGAACCTGCCATAATTTTATACCAAAGCAGGCTTTGAATACAGATGCCGAGTTATGTTCAGTATTATTATTTCTTCTTTCTTGTTAGTTTTGAATTAGAGAAGAGTGTATCGGTATCTCTACCACTCTAAATCTTCTTTCGCCAGTGTGGCCACTCAGTTCTATGAGTCACTTCTAACTCCTTGGGGGCAGTATGACCTTGGGTGACATGTTGTCTGGTCACTGGGATGATTTCCATTTGGTCTGTAATACATTTTGTCCCTCTACGTTTGAACTCAGGGCCTTGGACTTGCTAGATAGGCACTTTTCTACTTGAACCATAGCCTTAGCCCTTCCACTACCCCCTTTTTTCTTTTATCTTTTCTTTTTTCTTTTCTCTTTCTTTCTCTCTTTCTTCCTTTCTCTCTTTCTTTCTTTCTTCCTTTCTTTCTTTCTTGAGCCACAGCTCCACTTCCAACTTTTTGGTGGTTAGTTGAAGATAAGAGTTTCATGGACTTTCCTGCTGGGTCTGGCTTGGAACCTTAATCCTCAGATCTCAGCTTCCTGAGTAGCTAGGAATTGTCAGTGAATCACCAGCACCTGGGCTTTGTTTTCATTTTAAAAAAAGATATATATCTTGTATTATGCCAGCCAAGATCTTGATCCCTTCTATTTGCACTTCCTGCTTTCCAATATTGCTAGGATGACAGGTAGGTTCCACTGAACCCAGTTTTTTTTTTTTAATTGGTTGAGATGGAATCTCATAAACTTTCTGTCCAGGTTTGCCTTGAGACTTATCTTCTCCATCTCTGCTTTCCAATTAACTAGGATTATAGGTATGTGCTACAAAGGCTAGGTGGTCTGTAGTACTTGCAGATATCCAGGTCTCAGCTTCTGCCTATGCCTCAATTTGCTTGTTAGCTAGAGACTAGAGACATGAGAGCAGTTAGAAGACCAGCCTAAGAGTGGAACTACAATCTCAGTTCTTGAAAAAGTCCTTTCTCACTGAGTCTCCATTTCCTTTTTTTGTCAGAGGGAAGAATTTTGGTGCATGCAAATCACCAAAAAAGTCTACCTTTCAATATGGAAAGCACTGGAAGATGAATTATTTCATTGACTCCTTGTAACTGGTCCTGTGGAGCAGATAGGATTTTGTTTTTCTTACAGATGAGGAAACGGAGGCTCAGACAGGCTTTTGATTGAGTGCCTATAAATAATAGTGGGTCCCGGTGATCTGACCATTGAGCCATATCGCTTAATCACTGCACTCAATAGTCTCTCCAGACCTAACAGCAGAGGGACAGATGGGGGTGTTCTGCCATGGCTGTCAGGAGGGCAGAGAGTGGTGTGCAAGCTCGGCTGCTTCAGTGAGGCCAGAAGGGGCCGCCCACAGTTATTTATAAATCATGCTTTTCTTTACCATCATTGGGCCCCAGTGTGGAGGGGGAGGGGCTGGGGAGGTTGGTCTCCCATCCTTTTCAGGAAATCAAGACTCCTGGATACAGGGTTTATGGGCAGAAATCATAGGCAGATGGGAACCTAGCCAGGGCTGGCTCCCCCTTTTCTACCATTTGAGTTTCTCCTCTGCAAATGTATCTGGAGAAGCCAGGAAAAGTACCCCCCCAACAGCCCCACCGCCACCCCCATCCCTTCCTTGTTTATTCCCTGAGAAAATGCTGGCTGTTGTAGAGCAAAGCAGGTTCCAGGAGTTCTGCATTTTGGAGGGGAGGGAAAGAAAGAACCCAATGTTTAAGCAGCTGAGGGTTGTTAAGTAAAAATAGGTCCTCCCTTCAGCTGCATGCGAGTGTGTCATATTTCAGTCTGATGTGGTTTGTTAAGTTGGGGACCACAAGCAGACAGTTCCTCCTGCTGGCCAGCTTCCAGAGCTTCCCTTCCCCCAAACGCTGTCTTGCCTGGACCACATCTGCAATTGAAGGGTAGGGCAGAGAAAAGCAGTGGGTGTGGGAGCAGGGCTGCCCAGCCTAAGGCCTGGCCTTGTCATTGTTGCCACTGACAGAGAGCTGGCTGGCTTAAACCAATGCCTGCCTTTTTCTCTGGGCTCCAATGTTTGTGCTGCACCATAGGTAGATAGCATGATGCCAGGCTTTGCTAATGCTGCTGGCATCGGGGTCCAAAGGCTCTGTGCCCTGCGCGGGAGCCAGCTCCTGTGTGCCTGAGAGTGTAATGGGAGTCCACAGCTGGCTGACACCGAGGTACAGCTGCCATTCTTGGATTTGGATGGAACTGATTGCTCCGTTGTGTAGCCTAATAGTGATGATAATGGTGACCACTGTGTGTTTGCACTGATTTGTTTTATCTTTTAATGGTTCCAGGAAGAAAGAGGTGTTGACATGATTTTAGAGGCCTGGAGCATGGGCTGTCTTGTTCATTGGTCACTAGGAGCCACCTGGCCAACCAGGTTCCTCCCAGATCCTCCTGCATCCTCCCTCTCCTCCCTGGTTTGCTCTTTCCTGTAGGGTAGACATTGTATCTCCTGAATTCAAGGCATAAGGAATGAGGTCTTTAACTATGTAATATTCCTGAAGTCCTTCTCCCGCCCCCACCCCCGCCCCAAGGATCTAGAAAGGATTTGAGCCATGACTTTGTGCTGAAGGTTAGTCACCTTATAGGAGTGGATTCCTTTCCTCTGCTGAGTTGGTTAGGCAAACAGTCTTGTTACTCTCCAACTTCAACAAACGTATCATCAGGGCCAGGCTTATTTGCCAAACAAGGGGTTTGTATTCCTCATATATGAGCTTTCAGGGCAAGGCTTGGACTGTGGCAGGGCTGGGCCCTTGGTGGGCACTGAGT